CAATGCCACATGCATGCACCAAGGTAATGCATGCACACATGATAGATTCCCACAAAGTGGACAGTTGTACACAAGACACTTGTGTGCTGCAAGTGATCTTAGCAAGCTCACAGCCATGGATGACAGGGCCAAGAAGTTGAGAAAACTTCAAGACCTGAGAAATCATGTGCCCTATGTATCCAAAAGTGCTTTGGAATCAATTCTATCCTGGGTGCAGAAAGAAGGGTGTGTTCAATTGCACACAGCAAAGCATATGAGAGAAGCCAACAGAGCAACTTTGGCTACTGCCACAGCTTATGGCCCAGTGCTGGTAGATCGGTAGATCAAGCTGTAGTCATGTGCGATGACTCAAAAAAGCTTCTGCCATTCCTCAATTTGCACAGCTTTCTGCATGCTGCCTACACAGCAGGAGGCTCCATGTTTGAGCTCTTGAAGAATGTGGATGGGCCACTTGGCCTCATACTATACACAGATGAAGTATGCCCTGGCAACCCATTAGCAGCCACCACCCCCAGAAAGTGCTGGGTGGTCTATGGAGCAATTGTCCAAGCTGGACAGCATTTGCAAAATGAAAGGGCATGGGTTACATTGACCTGCTTGAGGTCTTCAATTGTTAAGAAAGTGCAGGGTGGCATGTCACAGATTCTCAAAATCATTTTGAAAATGATTTTCCAGTGGGATAAGGTGGATGCAGTTGATCTAGGCCTGCTGCTTCAAGGACCTGCTGGGTGCCCTGCTGAACACGCAAGAAAGCATGTACAAATGACCTTGCAGTTCATAGTGCAGGATGGAGCAGCCCACAAGCACTGCTGGTCTTTAAAGGGTGATGCTGGAAGTAGATTTTGTGGCCTGTGCCGCAATGTCTTTTCTCATGAGCAAGATGAAGAAGGTGTCAATGAAGTGAGCAAATACACAAAATTCAGCCAGCTTGAGCTCACAGAATCCCAAGAAGTTTTTTCTTCCTGGGATAGAATGACAAAGAGAAGGTCGAATTGCTCACAAGCAGAATTCAAAATGTGGGAGCAGGCAACTGGCATCACTTACAATGAGGAGGCAGTGCTGGCAGACACCTCCTTGAGACCAATCCTGGACCCTTGCAAGCAATACAAGCATGACTGGATGCACTGCTTGATGGGCAATGGGATTCTTTCTTTGGGTGTCTTCAATATGCTGGAAGGCATGCAATGTTGGAAACAATTTGGTGAATATGTTGGCCAGTGGACAATTCCATCCCATTGGCAGCATGCAGGCATCAAGGTGGCAACTTTGTTTTCAGAGAGCAGTGCAAAAACACAAGCAGGCTGAAAAACTCAGTTGCACTGCAAGTGAGCTCTCACAGTCCTGCCAATGTTGGTGCACTTCTTGAAGAAGGTTTGCATTGACTGCATGGTCCAGGAAGCCCATTGTATCCAAATGCTGGCTCATTTGGTGGATTTGCTGCAATCCACTTGGTCTTTGCCCATCACTGCTGAAGCCATCCAAGATGCTGCAGAGAAGGCATTGGCTTTGTGGACACAAATTGGCTGGAAAGTTATCAAAAAACATCATTGGCTCTTGCATTTGGGCCAAGCTTTCAGGAATCACAATATCATGGTGGCCTGCTGGGCTATGGAAAGAAAGCATCGGTTCATTTCCAGAATTGGCAATGCCATTGCCAACACAAGGCAGCTGGAACAAAGTGTGATGGAAGAGGTTACTGCAAAAGAACTCAATGTCTTGAGCCTTGATGCCCCCTTTGCTGCCTTGGAGTACCAGCTCAAGAAGCCCCACAAGCTGCCTTCCAAGCTGGTTGACACAGTGCAGCATTTATCGCCACTTGTCAATGTTGGTTTGGTCACTACAAGCCAAGTAGCCTGGCTGAAGCATGGTGTGACTTGCTCCAAAGGTGATGTTGTCTTGCTGGACATTGCACATGGCACCAGGAAGTGGACTGCTGGAAAACTTCAATTGCATTTAGATGCTGGGCAGCCCATGTGTTTGGTATCTTTGTTTGAATGTTTGGAAATTGGTGCGAGGAATGAGTATGCTGTATGGCAAAGCTTTGCTGACCAATCTGCTGCAATTTCCTTGTGCAAGGTTTTAACACCTTGCCTCTACGCTCAAAATGGTGCAAAGATCACCACCCTGATTCCATTACCATGGAGATAAAAAAACCTGCTTTAGACTCGCTGTGTTTTCCATTAGCAATATTGACTTTGCGCAGACTCTACCCCAGTCCTGCAAGCCATACAACCGGCCCAGCTTTTCCATGCAGCCAATACCTGCCTTTCTTGCAACCATTGCAGGCTTTTCATGCAGCCACTACAAGCTTTTCATGCAATCAGCATTGCCAATTCATGGATCCTTCAACCATTACAAGCTATGCTTGCAATGCATGACCTTTCCATGCAGCCATTACAAGGTTTTCATGCAGCCATTACAGGCCTTTCATGCAATCAGCATTGCCAATTCATGGTCACAATGCAAGCCATTACAAGCTTTTCATGCAGCCATCACAGGCCTTTCATGCAATCAGCATTGCAAATTCATGGAAACAATGCAAGCCTGTTCATGGCTTCAATACTGTTTTGTTGTTGCATGCTGGCACTTGCTATGTGGCAAGAATTCATGTGCAATGCAATGTTTCACCTGTAGTGCGTGTGCAGTTTCACTTGCCAGATTATTGTGATTTTATGATCAGAAAATCGCTGTTTTATTTAGTTAACTATTTAGCTAATCATTTAGCTAATCATTTAGTTAACCAATTAGCTAATCATTTAGCTAATTTTGTTAATTGATTATTAAATGATTAACTAACTATGTTAAATAAGTTAACTTGTTACTAAACACACAGCCCATCAAAGTAGTACCATAACCAAAGGAAGGTTTTTAGGTTCATTGGAAGGTCGTTTGATCTGCGTCCATCCATTTGAGTGGTTTTAGGTTGTTGTCTTTTTAGGTTTTTGACCTTCCAGTCTTCAAAGAGTTGTTGCAAATCCACTCTGAAAAAAGGGTGTCTCTCAACTGCCTCTCATGCCCTGCGCTGCAGGATGGACAAACATCTATCAGCGGTAGAGATCAACAGGTTTTTGGCCAAACATGAACAAGTAGAGTAGGGAGGGACTACACAAAATATCACAAAATGCATGTCAGTGGATCTTATCTCCTCTTAGATGTCCATGATTTCCTATGAAAAAGGTAGGAAACATCATTGTCTACCTCTGTCTTTAGGATCTCTATACATACAGCAGTACATCGCTAGTAGTAACAAAGGGCATCGCTACTAGGAGCAAGAAGCTAGTAGTAACAAGGTGCATCGCTACTAGTAGCTTCTCGTAACTAGTAGTAATGCCAGGAGCTACTAGTAGCGTCCTTGCTCCTAGTAGCTCCTGGCATCGCTACTAGTATATAACAATCTTCGTCCAACTCAGCAGTGTTCCCATCAAAAGCTTGTGCAGAGGCCGGTGCTCTGCTCTCGGAGACTCGCACAAATACTTATTATTTATATAACACAGTTACATTTACAGTTACGTTGATCCATCTTCTGGAAACAACATGAAAATGGTGCAAAATGACTCTCACTCACCAGATGCAAGCATTATTTGAACGGCCTCCCCTACTGGCACGTGCGAGCTGACGCACTGCGTATGTACCTATAGCCAGGACAAGTGCAGAGGTCATAAGGCACCCAGTGAGCACACTTAGCCCATCGTCTCACTGTCATCCACTTAGCACCAAGTGGGTTGGCCTCAAGTGCCCTGACTGTAGCAAAGTTGCAAAAGAGTCGCAGAAGCGATGCGGCAACAATCCTAACAGTCCTCGCAGTGCGCCCCACACCCGGCCAACAGTGTGACAAGAGCTTTTGGGGTTACCGCAAGCGGCAATCCAGTGCAGAAGCTCTCTTGGGTAGGGCTAGCAGCAGGCTCACTCGCCGCAAGTGGCGAGTGAGAAGAAGCCGCCAAACAGTCCAGTTAGTTGACAGTTGCATTGCAGAATCATGTAAATAAGCAGAATCTACGCGATGTGCTTGCACAAGGACAACTGGCCGAACAATCCAAACAAATCTGCGTTGCATCGCAGACCAATGCTGATGCCAACAGCTCGTTCCGGACGATGTCGAAGTCTCCGACCATAAACCCTTGTAACTCTAGGCACAACCACAGCAACTGCTGTCACGAGGCTGAAAACTGATCAGAACATCATAGGACATCCCAAACTTGAAGCAAATTTGCAGAATGTCTGGGCAAGCATCCATTTTATCCATGCGTCATTGGTCATGGGTAACAGAACAGCAACAACGTCCCATCTTTCGCAAATGATGGAATCGCACCTAGTCAAATAGAAGGTTGCAAGAGGGTCAAAGACTTCAAAACAAGTCCTGATGAAGTTTAGCACCCAAAGCCATCTCGAAGGCCTCCCCCTACAGCGAGCTAGATACCTTCAGCACTCTGTTAGCACACTTAGCACTTCATCTCGCTGACATCGTAACACCAAGTGCGTCCACGTGCACCTGATCCGGAAGAATAGACACATAGATTGGCCAAGGGTGGTAATCCAATCAGAAGCATTTATAGGACCTGACAACCATGGCACTTTGTTGCTACCCATCCCAGCCTGAGCGAAACCCAGACCTCAGGCTGCGCGTGGAATGTCTCCCGAAGGTCGCGGGGAAATCTCCAACCAACCGGTGAGGCAATCAGCAACTTCAGATCCGGAATGGGAATCTCGGAGGGAGCTGCTTGGAGGGGAAGATCTTCCGGTGACCCACTGTACCCCGGAGTTGATCCCTGGTTTCATGGTTCTTCTAAGTATGGGCGAAACCATAGTTGTAGAATTATGTGCCATATAGTAATGTATGTGCCCATGAAACCGTACTTTTTGTGCAAAACTGAAAAAAACAACAACAAAGGTTTCAAACAAAGTTGGGTCTTCCACTGAGTAGTGTCGCACTCGACAGTTGCTTTTTCTGCGTCCATGGCTGCCAGGTTTGATGCCAAAGCCTTTTCCCTTCTGCGTAGAATCTTGAAGGAGTGCCGCGTGAGATGTTTGGTTTTTTCAAACCAGACCTGATATTCGTGTCTGTCTGTCTCGCACCAATGGGCCCTGTGGACCAATCTTCCGCAGAGGCAAAAGGCCCTTCACTTCAAGGACGGTCGACCGCACGAAGACCGATCCATCAAATGATTGTCCTTCAGACGTCCGAAGACCGAAGACCGAAGCCTTTGCGAAGATGAGCCAAAGTTTCCAACCTGATGACCTTGGGTCCGAAGCACAATAGATACTGTACTGTGTGGAACATACTGGACCAAGTGCCAGTGTTGTTCTCATCGCCCTACTTACTTGTCAAGTGGGGGGTTGGGGCACAGCTTAAAGGTTGAAAAAACATTCCCGTGCCTGCACAAGGCTCCAACATCTTCAGAAAACCTGTATATAGATCTGTTCACCATGCTAACGCCCGGCTCTTCATGCCAAGCCAGATGATGAGGTCTTGATAAGGCTGGTTTCGTCATGTTTCGTCTGTAGAAGACAGTTCCATGATGTTACGAAGACAGTTCCATGATGTCACGAAGACAGTTCCATGATGTCACGTGACCCATGTTCCATCAACCCTCGATGACTCTCATTCAACTTCGTCTTCACATCGGACGTCGCCAAAGGACGACTGGCTCCTTTCCAACAAAGGAAGGGAGCCCGTGCGCGGGAGAAAGTGCTCCATGCTCCAGCCAATTGCCGGATGTGTGAGCCGAGAGTTGAGATGGCCCTGGATGGGGTGAGGTAAACGGATGTGGATGCTGTGGACCTGGGAAAAAAAGGAACAGAAAGTCATCTGGGAGCCACGTCATGTTTATTCGCGACCAAAATGGCTTGAAGATAAGGAAGACATTGGAAGAACTGGTGCCCCTTTGCCAGGAACGCATCGACCATGGAGCCTTGGATCATCACAAAATCGACTCCAAATCACCTACTATATAAGAAAACCCAGATCCAACCAGCAAGACATGATCAGTTCCAGAAAAATTCGGCAGGAAGCAGACTAGGAAGCAGCTTCTTGCCAAGTCTGTGTAGGTCGGACTGGGTGTTGCACCTCTTCAGGCCCGGTAGAGACCTCACTGCACCTGCACTAAGCCGTGGCCATGGTTGATGGCTGCGAAGTAGGCCGCGAAGACCAGAGACACAATGGCCTGGCGGCCAGGAGTGAGCCATCACTCCGTGAGGGCGTACTTGGGACAGGGGAAACCGACGGTATTTGTGTCTTTTCCGAGCCTACAACCTATTTTTGGGATGTGAAAGCAATGGGTTCTTGTTTGTGTTGTTTCGATTTTCGATGCTGGAAGAAAAACACACCAAGAACCACCCTATAATAAATAGGCTGACAAAACCAGGGTCTTGACATGTCTTTACCATCCTTCCATTCATGTCCAAACACCGCTGGGGCCGGTGCTTTTGTTGGTTCTCCAAAAGGTGTCAGCAGGTTTTCTCGCCTGGAGCTTCATGACGATGTTCAGGGCAGGTCCGGAGGTGTCCTGGAGTGGTGCGGCAAGCAAAGCCGCCCGAAGCCGAAACGCAACAGAATCTGCAACCCAAAGCTTTCCCAAAGTTCCTTGCATGTCCTTGCCATGCGACGAAAAGATCCCACCCAATGTTGTGCTTTTTGAAATGAACAACTTTTGTATGGAAAAGAACTCTGCGGGGCGACTTGGTTTTCTCATCGTTTCTCCCATCCTTCTCCAGGCCTCACGGCCTCAGTCACGACCCCAGTCGACCCGCATCTGCACTGCCCTGCGCCCTCCGTCCTTGAAGGGGTCGCCCACAGTGTCGCCCTGCACAGCTGCGTCGTGTGCTTCCTTGGCCTTCGGTGCAGCCTTCTTCTCCTCTTCGGTCTGAGGATTCTTCGTGTAGCGCAGCTCCACGTCATCGGAGAAGCCGTTCTTGATGAACTTCTTGCAATTGTCCTTGGGATGTTGATGACCAAAAAAGTAGGCAAAGCATCAGCGGCACCTGAAAGAGTGCCCTGTAGTCAATGGAATGGAAGGGGTGGAAGATGTTCAGATGCTTTGACGTGGAACCTCCGGACAGCCAGGCACCACAGTACCCCCTCCGCCTCGACCCGCGCGCCCCGCGCGCCCCGCTGCGGCCGGGCGTCCCAGGCGCCGCCGGAGTTGGACATGGAGATGGCCAGCTGCACCGAGGAGCCCAGCGAGCCCGTCAAGAGTCCGAAGACCGCCTCTTCGGGCGATGGCAACGTCGGCAGTCCACGTGGTGGATTTGTGACGGAGTGGAGGTACGCGGATCACGGGGTCACCAGGGGTTAGATGGTTGAAGAGGGAGAAATGAGATGGATATCGCATGGTTGAAAGCATTGGTGATCTGAGATGAAGTTTGAGACCTCTTCTTTGAACAAATCTTTTCAAATGGCTGGGTCCAGGGTAGCGTGAGCGTGTTTGGCATATCCTCTGATGCAGCCGGGCAAAGTATGACACAGTATCACTGAAACCACAAGCTCACTTCAGTTGTCGTACGAATTGCTAATTAAATTGAAACAAACTAACTAGTTAAGTATTCCCTCAGTCTGCAGCTTCCTAAGTCTGCCCATCCCTTAGATACCGCAAATGGTGATCCTCCGACTTCGGGGGTGTTTCTGCACGCCGACTTCCAGGGGTCGGCCGCCTGCACGCCGAAGAACGTTCCCGCCGCCAAGGGAGACAAGATGACCAGGCACGCGGGTGCCACCATCTCACGAATGGACGCCTGGCAAAGCCCAACAGGCTCCGAGGTCCGAGGGAAGGGAAAACCGAAAAATGTGCAGTTGTTTGAAGATGTGTGACGCCAGGAGCATGGGGAAATGTCTCCAAAATGGCAAGAGACCCTGACTGTTCTTTGGTCTCATTTCGCCAATGACCTGGCGTAACAAAGGTTTGGGAACAATCTCTTCCCACAGACCGGCATATGCTCCGCAAAAAGATATGTTGCATATGTTTCGAGCCAAACCATCCCACGAACTTGTAGCTAGCAGTTTGTCAGGCAAAGCTCGACCTCTTTTGACCACCACAGGAGTTTGGGGAAGGCTTTGACTTTCGGTCTATGAACCTTCCAACAAACCACCACCGCAAAGAAGAGAAAACCCTAGGATTCCAAGAAGCATTGATGTAGTGGATCGAATCCCAAACAAACAGTATTTGATATATATTATTTTACATTATATATATATACATAAAATGTTTACTATATAAGGAGTTTGGACTTCAAAACCAGGAACGCATATATCTCTAGTGGCCATGTGTCGAAAACGGCCATGGTCGTGCAGGTCCGTTTTCGCGCATCGGCCGTGCCTGGGTGGAAATCTGAATGCAGGTCTTGGAATCCGGCTTGAGCTCAGTGCTGCCAGTGAGCAAAGTTTTGCCTTAGTTTGAGATGCTTTGAAACACATCTGTTCAGGAACTGCGTTTCCAAGGCTTTCCAAACGCAAGCTGAGCAGACACACTCAAAACGCCTCGCAAGGAGAAAGACACCATCCCGACATGGAAGAGATGTTTGACTGGGTGGGTTCAAAACACTTTACAGTCTGGGAAAACGGTGAAAACTGCACAAGTTTTCTACACCAACGACCGCGTTGAGAACCTGATGTGGACTTTTCTTGTGCAAGATCCACAGCGGTTTCTGTTCATAAAGGGATAACCATCGATACACCGAACCCGAAATAGGGATAACCTTCATGTCTCTGCCAAGGCTCCCTTCGAGTCCTTCATGCTGAACTGCCTCTGGACCTCTGCCACCATCTCTCCTGCAGCCTTTCCGACAGACTTCATGGTCAGAGCCGCGAACCTGGCAGCCAGTGGCCATTGTCGAGGTTTTTGAAACACCTAAAGCAGTGGTCCAGTGGAGGTTTCTTATGAGTGGGCCTGAGTGGGCCTGAGTGGGCCGTCTATTGCATCAGAAGGGACTGACTACCTGGCCGCAGGCGATGGTGATTGATCACTTCAGGCGCTGGTGACCCGCTGGTGCACGTGGTCCAGGCTCCAACTCACTTGAAAAGCCTGAAGTAAAGCCTCTTCACTGAATCATTGACACAACAGAACAAATGACAATACCACTGATGGATCGGGGGAGTTTCCCAACGCCCAAACAGACCCACTTCTCCATGCGAGAAAACTACCACAAGAAAGATATGGGGAGAGAGCGAGAGCGAGAGCCATCTCCACCAACAGTTCCATGCGCACGATCCAGTTCCCGCATCCATGTCTATTCGTCCATGTCTATTCGTCCATGGAGCCAATAGGGGATCATGCAGCCAATGATGAGGAAGGCAAAGGTGGTGGGCTCCAAAATGTTCACTCCGGTCTTCACCTGGAAATTGCGAGGACCGGCAGATCTGTGAGGACCGGCTTCTTGGCCTTTGGGGTCGCAAAAGCTTGGGAGAGGTCTTCGATGTTGGACTTGGGACAGTCAGAAAATTATGGATCGGGATCTCCTAATCATCAAACCAGAACAGTGATGAGAAGTCCCGAAGTGCTTGAAGACCTCTTCCCAACTGAAAAAGTCGCCAGGCCACCCGCAATCTGATCACGAAGGCTCCGTAGAGTGCCAAAGACACCAAGGCAGCACCTTTGGGCCAAAGAAAAACACCCATGAGGTGTCGCAACAACCGGGCGAACGTGCGAAGCCTTGAACACCTTCGGTCGACCTGGTGCAGAACGATTTCTGACTGGTGCAAGGAACGAGGATGGCTGGATCCCAAGGGTACCTAAAACCTGAATGACTTCTATTTTGGACCACTAACTACTCCAAATCTGCCCTTATTTGATGTCTTCTACTATCAAAGCCGGGGTCGTGTCTGGATTCCAAGGTCATTCTCATGCGTGGGTCATGCCTTTCTGCCCGAGTCGCCCAGGGTTCCCGCTCCGGGTCAACGAACTTTAGACCACCCGGTGGGCCTTTCGGCAGGTTTGACCTAACCCCCCGGGTTCCTGAGGCAGGCGACCTGCCGACCTGCCTGTTCGCAGCGCATGTCAGTCCTCCTGCCAACTTGGTGTGAATCATTGCAGTTTAGGTATGGATTGTAAAGCCTCTTCAAATGAGGTTTTTGCTTTTTGCTTCGACCATTCGACTTGAAAAGAACGAAGGGAGTTCGACCCCGAATCCTTGAATTTGAATGGACATCCGGTTGAAACAAAAGCGACACCCCGAACCCCCTTCGGCAACTCCAAACCCTTACTGTGATTAAGGCTTCAACCTAGCCTCACTTACCTCCCCCCTTGAATTCCAAAGCCCTACAACCCCCCCAAAAAAATAACGAAACACTGGCACCCTGACTCTCTCTTGTTTTCCGTTTGGGAACCGCCGTCTTGCGCGTCTTCCGTCCGTCTCTGGGCCGGGCAGCTGCCAATGGCGAAGCCCTTCCCGATGGCCGCTGTGGTGTTGCCCGCCGCGTCCAGGGCATCGGTGCGACGCCGCACCTGGAGAGGTTTCGGGTGAAGGCTTGAGACGGGGGGGGTTGGGAGGAATGTTGGAGAGGGATGTTCTTTTGATATATGATATATATGATATATATATATATATATGTTCCCAAATGTTCCCCATAAAGAAAGGTATGGGTAGTGGAGTAGTAGGGTTGGGCTCTTTGGGCTCTCTAGTTGTTACCCCTGAGCATCCCGGAACGTTTGGATCCTTGAAGGGGGAACCCCAAACTGGAGCCACCAGGAACCACCAGGCGGAGCCGACCAGGGTGCTGCAGGTGCCTGGTTTAGGCGGCTTAAACAATGGAAGAGTTTAAACGAAGATGTTCAAACCATCTGAGGTTGGATTAGGGGAGGTTGGTTTAAACAGTTTAGACAAGTGTTTGTTTGGACCCTTGCTTAAACAACTCTGAAAGCAACTCGCAAACAGCATACGGCAGCACACCCGTTCGTTTAAACATGGTTCAAAGAAACGTACCCAGGCATAGCTTCAGGCCTTCTCCCCAGAATCTAACATGGAAAGCACGATCTTAGTGGCCATCTTCTTGCGGGAGCACATGCTAAAGCGAGGGTCCAGATCGTTGAAGAAGCTCAATAGGCCACATTACCATATTACACGTTTAACCACTGCTTGTATACATGTGCTTCTGCTCACGGGCATGTTTAATCCTGTTTAAACCAAACAGCCGGCATAAACATGTTTAAACGTTTAGCTCCTTCCGCCACAAAAGCCCCAAGCATGTTTAAACAGTTTAATGTTTAAACGTGTTTAGCCCCACACTGGAGCCGACTAACTCCGCCCGCCAGGCTCCGGGCGGAGCCGACCTCCTCCGCCGACTCCCGTGACGGACGGATCGGCGCCTCTGGGTTGAAGAGTGCCATCTCGGCAATGCCACCGGCGTTGTCGCTGATGGGGCCTGGACGTTCCATCGGAGCCCTGGAGTGACAACCCCGTGCCTCTCGAATTCGCTTGCTCATGGGAAAAAGCAAACGTGGGAGTTCAAGCGTACCGGATAGTTGTCTAATAGCTTGACGATCATGCATTGAGTCATGCAGCTTCCCCCAGAACCGCTCCGCAGCTTCCTGCCGGCTCCGTTTGTGGCGTCGCTTCCGCGGGCTCTGGGTGTCCCGGGCCGAAGCCATCGATGGTCAAACCGCAGCTCAGCGTGGCCAACATACCCAAGGCCGCCAAGGCAATGCCGTACCTCCAAACACAGTGGAAAATCGCTGGCGGCTTTTTGGGTGACGACTGCAACCACCGAAAATGGGACCAACACCCTGGCTGAAAAGAAGCTGGTTTGGTGGGTCGTCTTTCTTGGAGGGTAAGTTGGATGGTGAGATTTGAGGGGCTGCTTCAGGCTGAACCCACAAGAATGGTGACTCCAAACATAGCAGTCAACATTCTTGACATATCTTCTGGTTGCTTAAGGAAATGCCTCCAGGAAAAAATTGGTCATACACCGTTCACTTTAAGCCCGCATTTGTTTCTTCAATTTCCGATGAGGTCAAAAACCGGTGCCGCAAACGTCGACGTCACTTCACTGCAGGTTTTGTGACTTGCCCCTCCGAGCCCATCGCCCAAGTCACAAATCGCAGAGCTGGAAGGACACAAAGATGGCGGAGGACAGCACGAAGACTGGAACGATGCAGCTCTTGTAGCCTTCAAGTCTCAGGACCCGTGGGTGAGGACAAAACAAACGTGCAGGCTGGCCAGAAATAGTTAAGACTAAGACGTGTGCAGCACAAAGCTTGCCTTGCTGACCTATAGCCATCCTACAAGACTCAAACCAAAATCACAGGCAAATGCTGTCGGCTTTCGTTTGGGCATGGAATGGCATGGAGGTTTTGATTTTCTTTGGCTCCGAGAGCGGTCTTTGTGTTCCAAACGAGACCAAGCGGACACCCTTGGAGCCGGTTCGATTGCCAGTTCGGTCACCCTCTTCCCATCTCCTCCCCCTTCGGCGGCGAACCCAAGGCCAAGCCCTGGATGATGTTCACGGCTGTGCCAAACTTGCAGGCCGAGGCCAACTCGCGGGTGGGGATGAAGCTGTGGGAGGTGAAGTACCTCGTTCCGCGCTCCCCGGAAGTTCGCCCATGTGTTTCACCCACGAAAGACGAGGTCGTGGTTGGGCGGCTTTCTTCACCCGAGGTGTATGAGTGGGATATGAATGGATATTGATGGAATATGGATGGGATGATAGATCTGTTCACCGTCATTGCAGTGGATACACGGCCCGAGAAATCCACGGCATTTCTCTTGGCGAACGAAGCGAAAAAGGTGCCTGGATCCGGCAGAAAAGGTCGGGGAAGCAGAAAGCAGGACACCTGCACCCTTGCAGCCTAACATAGAACCTGAAAACACTGGTCTTTGTAGAGGATAATGGTCTTCCTATGGTCTATTGTCAGGGTCTGCGTCAGTCTGCGAGGGTACACTTTTTGGGGGGTTCGCAGGTCTAGGTTTCTCCTCCCAGTTCTGCCTCCCATGAGGGTTTCCTGCAGCTCCAAGCTGAATCCCTAGGGATCCAAGTACCTTCTCAGAAGGTAATTGGACCCTCCAAACCTACATAGTGTCTCCAATCACCTTCTCAGAGGGTATGTGGATCCCTAGGTATCTCACAAAGTCTGTTGGACATGAGGCAAAGTGAAGCTCCGTCAAAACTCGACAGTTGCCAACGTCTCCTCTCTATATCAAGATACAAGATATAGCAAATAGCATTCAATAGCTAGATTCCAGATCAAATGTGTTTATCCCTCCTCAGTCCAAAGGACTCATGTTGAATATGAATTTCGCTTCTCCGGTGCTTTCGCTTCTCCAGTTCCTGCTGCCCGGCAACTCAGTGACCAGGCCAATGATGAGCCCTCCGACACATCCCATGGTCGCGCAAATGAATGCCTTGAAAGGGCTACCGTGGATCTTCGCCTCAGCATGAGATGATGCCTCATGCAGCGTCTGTCGTCTGTGTGGTCTGTCTGTTCGGGCTCTCGATGGCAGGCGGTGACATTCGAAGAACATACATCCAACATCCCATGATACAATTTGAATGAGTGCCTCTTTTTTCTTATCAGTGGTGAAAAGCGGGTTAAACTTGCCCACTCCACAGCCATGGGGAAGACTCCACATTACAAAGGGGGACCTCTCAACAAGCGAACTGGTCGAAGCTGGATTCTTGTGATCATTTGGCAAGGGGCTTTGGGCCTGCCGAAGCAAGGGGCTTTGGGAATGGCCTGAGAGAAAGGGGTGGAACAAGAAGTGCGGTAAACATAATTATGTTTCAGACGCTTCCACCAAATCAGATTTGTTCCAGATGCTTCCAAACAAATTGCCCATATAGTCAGATCTGTCCGTCCGTCCAATTGTGCCAAACTCGAAGACCCGCAACTTCGCAAAAATGACGTGGCCACACAGATTACCGAGGAGTTCCATCTTCAATCTGTTCCAGTTCTATTTCTCCTCTTCAACGGAAACCAAATATGATATAATGCTCCCCTCAGAAGACCAGGTCACCTCGTCACCCTCGGTCTCCCTCCATCTCCGGCGCCTGGTTCCCGCTCTCGGTGAGGCGGACGCCTTCCAGTCGGAACTCCGCCGGCAGCAGCAGAACGGCCAGGTAGTAGATGACGGGAAGCATCCTAGGTCGCTTCAATCGGTCAGAACCCCAACAAACCCAGCCGCTTCCATGGCCAGATCTCTGGACCCAGTCACCCAGTCAGTCAGTAAGATCTTTGGGCCCAAGATGTTGAAGAAGAAATCTGGATCTGCAAAACAGGTAGGCTCAAACAGGGAGATCTTGTGGGCAACGACCCCCTCTAAGTTCGCTTTGAGAAATACCACAACCCAGCCAGGGCCGATCGGGTGTCTCCCTATTAAGATACAAACCCATGTGGAGACGGGTCGAAGGAGGTCGAAGCAACCTCCGGGGTCTGGCCAGGTGGATTCGGCTGTTCTGCAAGGATCCGCCAGGCAGCCGCCCAGCTCCGAAGCATCTACAAGGGAGGACTTAAAAATAGCCATCCAATCTAGTTCAAGAACAGAGTCATCTGTCTGTGGTTCTTTGGCAGAGCCTATTTGTAGCCATCCCTTTGTAAGAGATTTTGAGGCTCAGTTGGTCCGGTTTGGTGGGCCGCACCGGCCCCCTTCCTTCGATGTTTCAACGAGGCCACAGGATGGCTGTGAGCACCATTTGGACCTTCAGGACCTTCTCGATGTCCGCTTCCACCTGTTCTGCGCGCCAATGGCGCGGACGTGGCTACTGGGGGAACCAAGTGAAAGATCTCTGATATATAGATATATACATATTTGTATATATGTATATATATTACATATATATATATATGTATATATATTGTATATCTTATATATATTTTTACTTATTTATTTAGGAACCGTCATCCAAGGGACATTTTACTCTACCAAGAGGTGGTTGTCCACGTAACCATGATTCTTTCAGGGAGTGTAAATGTTCTTGCCGGTTGGAATCCGAATGAAACAGGAAATGCTGATGATGCCTTGCAACCAAACACGGCAAACCTGTTTAGTAATTAGTGAGGATTGAAGTGACCCAGCTGGTGATTGTCCGTCTGGCCAGCTCCCTTCAATCCCTCCAACCCAAGTGCGGACTCCTTGATGAAATGCTCGGAAAAGTAGAGGGCACATGTCAATATGGCCAGACACTAAAGACCTCCGGACACACCCCACCCTGCGTCTCCAGAAATCTTTCGAAACTGGTTCGCCTACATCATCAACATCTGTCAATGATCCCAACAATGGAAAAAGTTTTAAAAACAAACTGAGTTGTTCTTCCAGGACAGCTCTTTACAATGAGACTCCGTCTTATGAACTTTCGGAGCTGCTCATCCCCCCACACAGCTCCCGCAAACGGAAGAAAGAACTCGTTTCCCGCCTTCACCGGAGAGATGTTGGTGGCAAAGAAGCCGCACAAGATGCAGATCACGATGCCAGCCTGTTTCAAACAACCCAACACTCGGCAGCCGGTTCGACGCACAAGCTTCCCCAACTGGGCTCCGACCTCCGAGAGGTTCGGGGCGACAGGGTCGCGACCGGGTCATGTGCGACAGGGTGACGCCTTTTGGGGTACCTCTCCCCACCAGGTCGAAGCTCAGTCAGTCGCCGACAACGAGCCAAAGAGCCGATCTCGGGCCAGGTCCTGGATGGATTCCCCTCTCGCCCCTCCATGGGGTGACAGGGCTCGTTGGGACTCGCCGTCTCGCCCTGTTTCGGCTTGTTCGCTGGGAACCGGTGGATGCCACAGGTCGATGGCGGAACGAGGCAACACCATGCAAGACCGGATGGGCGACCGGGGCCGACCGGGGCGGCCGAATGGGACCTGAAACACATGGGAGGACGAACAACAGCTGCAGTGAAAAAAGGCCATGTATGCAACAAGTGGGCTTGACAGCTAAGCCCGTCACGAAATGCTTTTCATTTGGTCTCCAATAATGGGCCCTTCGTAAACAAATTAATGATGACTGTTTGGGAATGCTACGTGGTTGGGCAGAGCCCACTGTATCCTATCTTCAAGCAAAAATGTGGGGTTCCACTCCTGCCGGTCACCGGTCGTGATCTGGTCACACCCCGAAGGGCAAAAAATGGGCGCCAGGCCAAAACCCTGCGTGACCATTTGCCCTCACACAACTCCTCGAACAAAAGCAACACATACAAAGTGTATTAACCCTAGAGTCTTCCCTGGCTTGGATGAAAAAGCCCGCAACTGCAACCATGGCAACTTCCTTTCAGACCCGACCTCAGTCAGTCGCCAGTCCAAGTCGACCACCCCAATAAGTGCACCTACCAACTTGCCTACTCCTACTATCCCTACTAGCTTCTACTTCTAACCCCCACTGAATCACCAGTCAACCCATGCCCTTGTTCTCTCCATGCCCTGTGTTTTTCCTCTTCTTCCCGGTTTTCGTGATGCTTTCTTGCTTAGGTGAGTGGCCGCGGAGATGGCCACGGGGAAGAGCATGGCGTCCCAGCCCGCCACCGACAGCGTGTTGTCGGAGCCCTCCACCGCCGCGGCCGCGATGACCAGCGCGGCGCAGGTGGACTCGGCGAAGGAGCCGAAGAGGTCGGCGCCCATCCCGGCGATGTCGCCCACCTCGGCCAGGTGAGGTGGGGAAACCTGTCGGTTAGGCCAGAGAAGGGATGGGAAAAGGGAGAAGGGAACGTGTGTTTTTTGGGGGGAGGTTGGTTAGGTCACTTTGGAGGTGGGATCGAGCAATAAAACCTTTGTGGCCTAATTATAGCCTTTGTCCAATCGCCGGAGGCGTTGCATGTGTTCCAATTGTGTTTGGAAAAGTCAACCCGCTCAACTCCAAGGGCAAGCTGCAAAGGTTCTGCCTGGTGTCTGAAAACAATCGTCCTGAAGGAAAATGGTTCGCAGAAAAGGCGAGGGAAAGTTGCCGATCGCATGTGAAGCAGAACAGATCTCAAGTGTTCTACAGAACAGAGATCCCTCTTTTAGCCACCAACACCTGCGTCGATCCGGTGCAAACACCAACACCTACCTATGGGGGTCACGTTTCTACCTACGAGCACCGGAACCGTTTCAGGTCACTCTTCTAGCCTCACCTGAAAACTGCTCGAAGTTCCACCAACACCCAGGTGTCTCTTGCTTCTTCCATGCGCACCACGCCACGTTGTCACCCACGTTGTCCGCGATGGTGGCGGGATTGTTGGGATCGTCCTGCGTTTTCGGAAGATTCTGGGCTCAGTCTTCCGAGCCCCAAACCCAGTCTTGGCAAAATTCTTTCCAGTGTAGCAGTGTCTGGTATAGATACATGGTAGTATAGTACCAACGCTTCCCCATTGACTCGTCTTGCTTGCGTCTCATGCACTTCAGTTAATGTCAGGCGGATGCGCCGCGGCGCCAGCGTGCTCCTCATCGAGGCCTGCCACCACCTTTCCCACCAGATCGGCACCCACATCCGCCGCCTGACCCGCCAGGTTGAAGGAAAGCGGTCGCTCGGCCGGTCAGGATGGGAGCTGCCCCCGGGGGTTCAGAGAAAACATGGAATATTAATATGAGGCCAAAAAAAAGGGCCAGAAACATCCACAAGCTTGGTTGGATGGAGTGTTGCGCTGTCAAACTGAAGGACGAAAAATGATGTTGCGCTGTCATCCCTGGTGTCTCTGCCTTGGTGTAGATGCCGCCGCCCACACGACCAAACATCGCCACGGTGCTGCCACCAAGGCCATAGCCGGCAGCACAATCGAAGAGGATCTCCCAGTCATCGTGCTCAGGGTACACCTAGTGGAACAGCTCCAAAACCCTGAGGATTCAGAGAAAGGGTGAAACATGACCTGAACATTTTTCGGGTTTGGGTACCTGCAGTGGTGACGCTGTTCGGGTGAGCCGAGATCCTACAAAGTCATGTTCTTGCTGGCATGCAAAATCCAGATACAGCCGTCCGACCCTCAGCCCCTAGCCACATCAAAAAGCTTCTTGCAAATGGCTGTGGGTCATCGCACCAGGATACTTTGGTTGACCGGAAGGTCGTGACGGCACCATGATGCTACATGGTGGACGACCGTCGGGCTCCGTCACGACCCAGAATCATTCCCACCTTGCGATAGTAGCTCAGCAAGACCCACAGCACAAGCACTCCTAAAGAGCACAAGGCATAGCCCATGACGCTGCCACCGCGGAAGGCCGTGTTGAAGCCCTCGGTGTAGCCTGGGGTTAGAGATCCATCGGCTTCGGAGTGGAACCGGTGCAGGCGGAGTGAGGTGATGAAACACACATTGCTTCTAATAGCGAACCTTGCTCCTAGTAGTAAGGCCAGGAGCCCCGTTCGTAGCGTCCTTGCTCCATTCGTAGCGAGGCCAGGAGCCCCTATAGTAGCTTCTTCCTCCTAGAAATCCAGTATCAACCGAGACGCGAGAGACACCAAAAGAGAAATTGTTCAGCCGCCTTTGGGGGGGCGTGTTTGTTGATATTGAAGCAATATTGCACCATCTGACACACAGCTTCCGCCTGTTGACCCACCACTCCCTTTCGGAGATCAAATGCCGCTCCCTTTGATCATGTACCCAAGGCAGTGCCCGAAACTGAATGCGACCTTGTAAGAAACAGTCCCCCCCAAACGAAATGTATCCGCCAACCGACTCAAGGCCGGCCACGTCGCTCCCTGTATCGCCTCCACTCTCCACTCTCCACTCTCCAACATGCTCCCATCTGACATGCGGAGTTCCTCTTCTCACGACCCGTCGAAGGTGCTGGAATGACGTCTTGGTTTAAAAAAGTTCTTTGCATCAGCTGGAACCACCTGGAACCACCTCGAACCACCTGGAACCACCAAAAAAACACGGTATCTGCCAGATCCATGTACCTGTTTTCCTGTTTGTGGGGGGTGCGTTTGCGGGTTTCCTGAAATGTCTACATCTGCCCCTTTAAAAGAGATTCAAAAAAGACTTGCCATGACGCCAAGGAGACCCTTGTGCGCGCATGCCAAGGTGGTGCGTGCGTTGGAGTAGGTGGCGATCATCATGCCCAGGAAGCCGCACAACATGGAGGTGAAGGCTCCTGGAGAGCGGCTGTTTATGGGCGTATATATGGGGATGTGTGGAACACGATGTGGAGCACGAGGAAGACCCGGATCAGCCCGAATTGCCAGGTCAGGGAGCAACTACCAACATTCCTATAATTATATGCCTATATTTGGATTCATGCTGGAGGTACCCATGGAATAATCAATAAACGAACGTCCGACCAGTGGTCAGTATGCACTTCTTTTGGAGTTCATCCAACTACGTAATAGGCTTTCCCTCTTTTTATCCCACCACGCCTGTCAAGAAGGCTCCAGCGGTCAATGCACCTTGGGTGTGGCTGTGGGTTCCCCAAGACACCAAGCCGTAGATGACGCCAGAGAAGAGCACGCAAAAGAGGCAGCAAATCGCATACTCCACCTGGCATGCGAAGCGGCAGTGCGTCTTCGCCAGTGCGTCTTCGCCCCGAGCTCGCTGCAACCTCTTCATTCCGTGATTGCTGCATCGAACGGTGGATTTTGTCCGATGTCGATCTCGCGGGAACAAAGGCTTGGCTTGTCCCCTGCAAATGGATGGTGAACACCGGAATGTTGAACATGCAATGACTTGAGGGGCAAGCAGCTACGATCGGTCTCCTGAGTGCTTAGGCTTAGACGCTTCGAGAAGGTGATTGCGGTGCTCTTTGAGTTTTGTTCAGACCCTTGTTCGGAAGTGGGGACCAGTTCAACACCCACACCCTTCCGACCCCAAAAAAACACACCTCCGCCCCACTGGACATCGGCGTTTCGACCCAACAGCCGTTGTTTCTCTTTCTCTCACCCAAAACAACCAGGCGTTCACCTTCAAAAATTGGATTGCTCCATCCATGATCTTGGCATAGATCTCAGGCACCAACTTCTCAGGGGCGTCACCACTGGTGAGGCTGGTGGACAAATTGCCATTGGGGGTCAGAGAGATCTTCCGGATGACGAGGAATTGCGCGAAGGCGGCCACCAGACCTCAAGAATGGTGTTTCAACATGGTTCAACAGCAAAGGATCTGGTCGGTAAAACGGGTCTTTCTGGGTCACGACTGGCATCTGCACCATTGAGCCACAGCCTTTTTGGGGAGGTCAAGGCCCAACTCATGTCAGGAGGACTTCAACTAGGAAACCTTGACAAGGTTTGGAGAACCTGGCCTGGCCATGCCATGTCCGTCCATAATTTGATGCCTCACAACTCACAACTATAATATACGTACATATTATGTCTGAAGCTAAAGCAGACTGCATCGTGAATGCCTTCTCAACATGGTGTGAGAAGGATCGAGTTTGACCCCTTGAACAACAACAACAACAACAGCAGCAGCAGCAACAACAACAGAAGCAGCAACAACAACAGCAACAACAGCAACAGCAACAGCAGCAGCAACAACAACAAAAGCAGCAGCAGCAGCAGCAGCAGCAGCAGCAACAACAACAACAACAACAGTAACACCAGTAACAGCAGCAACAACAGCAACATCAGCAACAGCAACAACAACAGCAACAGCAACAGCAACAACGACAGCAGCAGCAGCAGCAGCAGCAGCAACAACAACAACAACACAAACAGCAGCAGCAACAGCAACAGCAACAACAAGCAGCGTCGGATGGCAGTGGGATGCACTGCCAAAGGGCCTCTGTGCTCCATCTGGCTCTTTCCACTCGTCCCCGAGTCCCCGGACCTATCAGGCAGCAGGGGACAATGATCTCGTCCACAAGGCTCATCGTCGCTTCGAGGTTCGAGGTCGGCTTTCCTTTTGCTTCGAGGTTTTACTTCGGGGGCCCAACACGTTGGAAGCCAAAATGGCTACGGCGGCTACGGTATGAAGAAAAAGGCAAAGGGGATGAGCTGGTGTGTGGAGCGTGAAACACAACCAACCCCGGCAGGACTTTCTGCATAGCATCCTGGCACGTGATCATCAATCTCTCGCAGGGTCGTGACTCCCGGTGAAGTGATTCCAGGTGTTTGAAGGCTCACCCCGGCCATCGCTCGCATGGACTAAGACATTTGCAGTAACACGTCCATCTTTCCTCAAGTTCTGCATGGAAGAAATCCAAGCAAAAATTAGAGGATTGCTGTGCGCTTGACATTCAGAACAAAAGCCAGGGAGATTGTGTACACGTGCGTGGCTAATTCTAAGGAAGCCTGCAATAGTGAACAGTCCAATGCTCATTCACCCAGAATTCACGGTGGCTATCTTCAGCTCATGGAGAAACACTCAAGCACAAAATAGCACAAAGTGCGTTCATTTGGAAAACAAACCCCAAAAAATCCCCAAACCCTTGCGGCATTCAGCCACAATAATCAGACATCGGACAAACAGAAGGGCAATGGACCCAGCAAATCCACACACCGCGGCTGGGTACCGAGTCCGAGACCTTCCGATCCGATCAGTAGTGTAGACCGAAGTATTTCCACAGCACGAGTGGTTTCGGTTTGGAGCCCCACCAACCCAACGAAGGTGCTAATTTTTCGGGGAAAAGAACCAATGATCGGGTCTTCTCTTCGGTGGATGGTGCCCAACCCTTGGCTCCGTTTGCTCGGAGTCCATCGATCTGAGTCTTCGGGCCCGCTCGGTAGGCAAGGCTGCCTCACCTCGGTGTCCACCCGTGCTCGCCGAAGCGATGCACGCATCCAAGACGCGAGCCGCGCCCGGCTCGTCGGGTCTCCGGCGCATGGAGGCTTCAAAGCGGTGCAACGCACCGTCGAACACTCTACTCTTGGTTCAAGTCTGACTGCAAACATCACCAATCCGTGAAGTGATCTGCAGTTCGACCGGGCTCACTCTCGTCCACTGGGGCGTTCTTTCGCTTGGACCACCGGGCACCGACCCTTGTTGCTAGTAGCGTCCTTGCTACTAGTTACTAGTATAGTAATGCCCTTGTTACTAGTAGTGATGCCCTTGTTACTAGTAGTTTCTCGCTACTAGCTACTAGTATAGTCATGCCCTTGTTAGGACTAGCAATGCCCTTTTCCCGTTTTTACCGGGGAAGTCGCTCTTTTGTTTCTACCACATCCGAGGTAAAAACGGTAAAAATCGATCCTTTCTATTTTGATAATCGTTTTTCCTGCGCGGGCGCAAAACGGTATCCCTTGCAAAACAACGCACGCGAACCGCATGTGTGCGTCACCATTCGGGTCACAGGGATTCCTTAGAATTTGTTTTCCTTTTCTTACTGCAGGGGGCATGGCACCTGTTTCCCTAGCCACGCCAACGAAGCTATGGAGTTCAGCCACAAGGGAATGTGCACGCACACTCCTGTACCTGCAGCAGTTTTGAGTTCTTAATCCCTACTTGGTCCCGTTCATAGCTCGAACACGACTTTGGCCATTGCATCGGTTCTGCATTCCGGAGTTATGAGCTCACGTCGTCAACCTGTCCCGGCCGTGGCCTTTCGCTTTTCGAGACTTTCGAGTTCGGATCATTCCACCTGTACTTTTATTAAACTGGTCACTTAGGTTGCCGGGCGGCGACTGGCATTCAATTCAGTATGCATTTCCTAAGTGCGTCTCTCCTTAGTGAAAGCCCAGGGTATGTCCATGTTCTCCGGCTGGAGAACGTAGGTGTCGGAATCGGACAGCAGGAGGCTTAAGCCAAATGTATTTGCCAAGACTGCCAAGACTTGCTGAATTCTTGAATCGGAGTAGGCAGCTTTCGAGCACGCCACTAGGTGACCGCAGCGGTCTTGAGTACGCAGCCTTCGGGCACGCCATAATGGCCACAGCGGCCGAAGCTTTCTCAAGGCCCAGTGGGGTCTGCCGGTGCCTTAGATGAGGCAGGTCTTCCTAGGTTCTTTAATGGGGTTTGGTGTCGTTGGTTTCCGGACCCTCCATTTGGTTTCCGCTTTCATCCTGGTCCCTTTACACACTTTCTTTTTCGCTTTCGTTTCGTATCCTTCTGTCTTCATGCCTTGGCACCTCATCCTTTCTCCCTTTGCGCACACATTGGTCCGGCCGTACACTAAACCCAGTTTTGAGGTCGCCCAGGTTGTTATAATGAGGTCTGGCTCATTTGTTTGTTCCTGGTCACTTGGTTCCGTTTCATCGCAACCAGATACACCTGGTCTGTCTTGTCCTCCTTTCGTGTCGTCATTCGTTTGTCTTGTTTGCGCGCGCACACGCACAATAGTCGTACCCTTAAGTTCTTTGGGGGGCGTGTGTGTGGCACCCTTGGAGTCACAGGGATTCCTTAGAATTTGTTTTCCTTTTCTTACTGCAGGGGGCATGGCAGCTGTTTCCCTAGCCACGCCAACGAAGTTATGGAGTTCAGCCGGAAGGGAATGTGCATGCACACTCCTGTACCTGCAGTTTTGACTTCTTAATCCCTACTTGGTCCCGTTCATAGCTCGAACGCGACTTTGGCCATTGCATCGGTTCTGCATTCCGGAGTTGTGAGCGCACGTCGTCAACCTGTCGCGGCCGTGGCCTTTCGCTTTTCGAGACTAGGAAACTGGTCACTTGGTTGCCGGGTGGCGACTGGCATTCAATTCAGTACGCATTTCCTAAGTGCGTCTCTTCTTAGTGCTTGGCGAGAGCCCAGGGTGTACCCAAGGAGTGTCCCCTGTGGCCCCGTCGAACAGGGGCATGGTATGTCCATGTTCTCCGGCTGGAGAACGTAGGTGTCCGAATTGGACGCCAAATGTATTTGCCAAGACTTGCTGAATTCTTGAATCTGAGTAGGCAGCTTTCGAGCACGCCACTAGGTGACCCCAGCGGTCTTGAGTATGCAGCCTTCGAGCACGCCATAATGGCCACAGCGGCCGAAGCTTTCTCAAGGCCCGGTGGGGTCTGCCGGTGCCTTAGATGAGGCAAGTCTTCCTAGGTTCTTTAATGGGGTTTGGTGTCGTTGGTTTCCGGACCCTCCATTTGGTTTCCGCTTTCATCCTTTTCCCCTTTACTTTCTCTTTCTCTTTCGCTTCATGTCCTTCTGTCTTCATGCCTTGGCACCTCATCCTTTCTCCCTTTGTGCACACATTGGTCCGGCCCTTATAGTGTATACGCACACTCGTACACTAAACCCAGCTTGAGGTAGCCCAGGTTGTTATAATGAGGTCTGGCTCATTTGGTTGTTCCTGGTCACTTGGTTCCGTTTCATCGCAACCACATACACCTGGTGGCTTGTCCTCCTTTTGTGTCGTCATTCGTTTGTCTTGTTTGCGCGCACACACGCACATTAGCAGTATGCAGGGGGGCTGGTTGTTCATTGCAAGTACCAGCCCAACGAAGAGGCTTGCATTGAACACTGATGTCTGTGGGGACGCCCACCGATGTACCTGTGTACCTGACAACAGAAGGAAATGGTTCGTCGGCGGACTTGTGCCGTCGGTTCCTTTCCTTCTGTTGTCCTTTTCTACTCTAATGGGGCGATTCGTCAGTCTCGCCCTTTTTCTAGATATACTATATAAAAATAAACAGGAGGCTTCACTTCCTCTCTTGCCTATTTGAAGCGATTCACTTGTCTCGCTTCCCTATGGAACCTACTCCCTTATGCATGGCGTTAATTCAAGACTGCTAAGTATTCAGTGGTTAATTTGGCGATTCAAACAAATGTTCAAACACCTTCTAGTCGACCGACTCCGCGTTCTTGCATTAATTTCCTCATGGATATTCCCACTGGATGAAACCTATCGAAGTGTGTGTGTGTGTGTTAGCATCGCCGATGTTGCTTGCGCCCGAAGTCCTCCCGGAGACTGGGTCCCCATGCCGTGCCCAGGGGTGGTGCCGGCGCGCCTATTCGTGGGCCGTTCATGGTACTGCGAGAAGTATGCAGAATGGATTCAGTTGGCAAAAGCAGGACACCAGCTGACATCATAAGATATCACAGGACCGCAGGAACAAATCCAGGTCGGTTTTCTTGCAATGGTAGCTATCTTATGACTTATGACGAGAGAAAAGGTGTGATGTGGTGGTTTGTCTTCGTTTCAGGAAGGTCACTGCAGTCTTTCCGCCGCATACTTCTGTCATGTACAGCAAACTGATTGAGGTTCAAAGTCTTTCGACATGATGAACTTGGGAATTCAAATGGATTCCAACACCTCTGAAATTGCAGTCCACCTCACATCCATTCCTGCTATCGGAAGGCGCCTCTGAGATCAGACCTGCAAAGGCAGGGCTTCCAACCGAGGGCTCAAAGGTCTGCTCGCAAAGTGCGTCCTCTACATACTCCCTGTATCTCCGTGTGATTCACTGTACCACAGAGACCGGCAAGAAAGGCAAGCCTCATTGAAGGTGTCGGTGGCGTTGGGCTTCCCACCTGAAACATCTCAAAGTCAAGACCTTCAAACTTCGAAGGCACAAACTTCTCAAGAAGCTGAAGCGTCTGTCTTAGTCTTTACTTATTTTACTGTTCTATTTACTTGTCTTTCTCTCTGTCTTTCTTTCTTTCTTTCTGTTCTGTTCTTTTCTTCTCTTTTCTGTTCTGTTAGTTCCTTTTCTTTCCTTATTATTCCTTCTTTGGTTCCTTCTTTCCTTCCTTCTCCTTCTCCGTCTCCTTCTCGTATTCTCCGTCTCCTTCTCCTTCCTCTTCTTCCTCTTCTTCCTCTTCTTCCTCTTCTTCCTCTTCTTCGTCTTCTTCTTCTTCTTCTTCTTCATTTTCTTCTTCTTCTTCTTCTTCTTCTTCTTCTTCTTCTTCTTCTTCTTCTTCTGCTTCTGCTTCTGCTTCTCCTCCTTCTTTCTTCTCCTCCTCCTTCTTCTCACACTTAGTAGGTGTTTCTGCTGAGGGCAGGGCACTTCTGGCAGCAGACAGGGGTGCTGCAGGTGCAAGTGGAGCTCCTGGTGCCCTTGGTGCTCCGGGTGCGGCGGGTGCCAGTGGAGCTCCTGGTGCCCTTGGCGCTCCGGGTGCTGC